GAAACAGTTGGTACTGTTTTTTTCTCGAATTTATCCCTCGTACATTTAAGGTGGAAATAGTGAAGGGACTTATCTGGGCGGGGGTGACGCGGTTCCTATTCATTTTGTGGGTCGGGTTTTAGGGCAGCCGGGAAAGATGGTTTCCGGTCTTTGAATTTTGGCTTTAGCCATTGCTCTTTAGGAATCAGCTGCTTCTGTGGGTCGTTGGAGGTTGTTGGAAATGTTGCGACCTGAGATTCCTCCTTCGCAGACTCGGTGACGTCAACCTTGGGTTTCTTGCTGTGTCGCCTATCGGTTCTGTCATCATCCGCCAGCTGTTTGGCTTGCGTCAGTTGCTTTCGCGGGTCCTTTTCTATGTTTGCAGAAATCTCTGGTTCGGCTAGTGGTGCCTCATGTCCCAAGTCTTGTTCTACACTGTTCTTTTGCTCCGCTAGCACGTCTTTGGTAGCGCTGTTAGAGTTGTCTTCTGTGATAGCGTGGTCGTCCGTCGCTTGCGAAGGTGTTAGCTCCTCGTTGCACATTTCCTCCACATCCATTAGATGCTCGCTGTGGTCAGTCTCCGGTGATGCATTTCCTTGGAGCTTGGAGGCATACGTCACGACGCACTCTTCAGTTGTATGTCCATACCGCCAGCACTCATGGCATAGAGGAGTGCGGCACTGCCGGCGGATGTGTCCAATCGCTTTGCATCTCAGGCAGAGTGGTGGCCTTCCTGGTATTACAACGAGCACATTCGACCCGTATATGTTTAAGATGTGTGGGATCTTGTCTACTGTGAGATCCTGTCTCAGAGTAAGGGTTACATCTAACGTCGTTGATTCTAAGTCCTCGAGACCTGAAAATCTCCACTTTTCTCTCGTCATTTCCTTGACTTTTCCAAAGGGTTCTAGGACCTTTCTCACCTCCGAGTCCGGCATGGGGATAGGCACCCATAGAAGCTTCAGCTTGATTTCCTCTTTGCACGGGTCAATGATGATGCATTTCTTCCCTTTGATTACGAGCTCCTCCTGTGCCTTCAGCTTGTTCTTTGCAGCAGCGTTTCCGAAGGTGATCATCCAGACGTGGCTCATTTGATACTGCCCTAAGCCGACGACGTCCTTCCGGTCGACGATAGAAAATAGGGCTTCCTTGAAATCGCTGGCCTTGTATGGCCTTCCGGTGATGTCCGCATGAATAAATATTGAGTTCAGGACGAGAATGCCTTGTGGTAGCCTTGGTAAAATAACTCTGTAGTCTGAAGATTCGAAAGTCTTCTTGGAAACCCGGCCATCAGATGCCGTCGAACCGCTCCCTCCAGAGCTCATCTCCCCACTCGTGGCGTGCGCCATCCTCTCGAGGCAAAGATTAGGCAAACAGGGTCACCCGGGGAAGCCCCGGGCCCCCGTTGTTGAATTAAATTGCAGGAAGGTAAATTAATGGCTTCCACTCACGGTCGCTTCTTCTTCCTCCACCGACCAAATCACCAAATCGGAAACGCGTTGTTTTTAGTAGTTTATATGTCTGCTGAGTTCGTTTGAATACATTGTACGGTTAGTTTCGTATGTAATTTTTTGTTACGTGTTCAGGACGTATTTCTAATATTGTGGCAATTTTTGCATACTCAATGATTTATTATTACTGTGTCTTTTAATAGTTTTTTAATGCGCTTTGCTGATCGTTTTATTGCAAGCGTGTTGAAGATACGCGCACAAAGATTCCGTAAAGTCGTTAGACAAACATAATAGCCAACGAACGCGATCCAATCCAATCCGCAGCCTTGTTTTGCCGGACGTGATGGCCGTGTGTGTTTCACGTCTCTGTCTTGAGGTCAAGTTACCGATTAGTCGTGATGCGTGGAGTTTAACTTAGTTTCAAATGTGTCCGAAAAAGAAGGAAGCGACTGTGAGCCGTGGAACTACGTCGAATCTGCTCAACAGCCAAGATCATGGCACGGTCGTTTCAAAGTAAGTTCCTTTCTTTGCCCGTTAGGGCTAGATTATTCTTTTTTCCGTTCAAAATGCTTGTTATTGTCTAGATCGCTTGCTTTTACCAGTATTACTAATTGTGCGCGAATGGTGCTATGCGAGGCTGTTTTGCTTCGTTCACAAATAGGCTGTGTACTCGGTCCAGGTCCATCAATAGCGGCGGAACTTTTTGGGAGATGGGGGGGGGGGGGGGGGGGGGACGGCGGCGCCGCCGGCGGCGGCGGCGGGCGTGCGGGCGGCCGGCCGGCCGGCCAGCCGGCCAGCCGGCGGGTGGAGGCGGAAAGGGGAGGGGGAGGGGGGGAAGTTTGATTGCCTCCCTCCACCGTATTGTTCACTGGTAAACTAGGATGTCTGGAAGAGCGCGGTGCCCCCCCCCCCCAAAAAAAAAAATAAAAATAAATAAAGCACTTAACTCAGCGCGGTGCCCCTCCATCGTCTAAGCTCTAGGTTAGTCACTACGGGTGGATTCCGTGTGCGTATTTGCGTCCGGAGAGCTGAGCCAGGCAAAAGGCAGAGGAGGATCGAGCAAGTCCGTAGCTTCCGCCGCGCAGTCGTCTGCAAACGGCTTTATTTTCGTGACTCGTTATCAGAAAAGAATTGTCAAAAATTGGTGCCGCGATGAATTCATCCCATGGTGATTTGCATAGCATACCGCTCCTGATCGCAAAACTTTGTGCCCACGAAATAATTTTTTGATGCCGCTTCTGGGGAAATTTACAAGCATGTCCTGGATTAAGGTAGTGTCTCGCCAGTTTATGAGAGGTATATTTAGTTCAGTGTAAGTATATAGTGTTAGACATGCCTCACCCAATCCCTGTATTTTTTCGTTTGGTACTGCCTTGAGCGAATGGTGTAGGTTGTAATTGTTTTTAGTTGTTGCATGATTGTAGTAAGGTGGTGAGCTTTACTAATTGAACAGCTTGAAAAACAGTTCACCACAAAAGGCAAGGAGACAAGCAGAGTTACGTGTAAACCATACGCAAGCGCAGACTCTCGACTCGCATGAACAGAGAAGGAAAAAATAAAGAATGCGGAAGGAGCTCAAGCACAGGCCCAAGTGGAATGCGCCGATTCACCCATTAGCAAGAGCAGATTTTAAAACCATAATTTCCTTGTCTGTTAAGGCAACAGATTGATGGCCAATACATAAAGACAGCTTAATCTCTCTCTAAAGTCTACGATGAATTGTCACCTACTTATGCACTATTTACACTGCTCGTGTGTCATCCTTATAGCCTCGTCCCACTAGAGCGACAGACAGCAACAAACGACAGCGACACACGACGCACGCTGTCCCACCTGGCGGACACGACGCAGGACATGGGGACGAGGAAACTTCTTTCCTAGTGGGATTGGAGTTGTCAACAAAACACTTCAAAATACACAGATAAACAGTCTGGCGATGCGGTTTTCATATTTTGCTCTTTGGGCATTAAATGCGCCGACAAACACGGTGAAAGTGGAGACAATTACTTTGTTTCTTGATTAAAGCTTCCGCTTCTCTTCATTTGCCGTTGGCGACTTTCCACAAACAGTCGTGACGATTGACACCAAACTTTTTCTGAACTAGAATACCCGAATCGTTCCTTTTTTTTGGGGGGGTCGTTCGAGGAATTCTAAGTTAGCACCAAGGAATTTCACCCTGATTTTGAGGATGTTTAAAACTTCATATCCGAATGATCGAGGGCAGGCGTTTTATGGGGGACAATACGGCATCCCGATCATCACAGAACGTGATGACAAGTCTCGTCTGCCGGAATGGCTTGCCGCGGAACGTCGTGTCCTACTTCGTGGTGAGCGGTCTTTGGTCAGTCCTCGAACATGGGTGTATCCATCCTGATTTAGGGGCGTAGACCTCGGCGTCTTGAAGCACCAAATCGCGCAGCAAGTTTTTGCGAGCAAAACCAGCCACAGACAAGCCTTTTGCAACATGACTGCCCAGCGCCAGCAAGCAAGCCGCGCCTGCAACCACTATGAGCAATCGAGGGACTGGAACTGCGGGAACGGGGAGAGGCCGCCAAGGGCTTCTCTGAAGGTCGAGCGGTGGAGCAAGCCACGGGAGGAAGGGTGGAAGGGTGGAAAGAGAGGCAACAGAGGGCACAAGCGGGCGAGGAGGATAAGTTTGTATCCCACAGATGTTCCTCGGTGGGACTGCTTGCTGCGCTTCAAGTCTAACAACAGACAAGAACTCGTCCGTCGTCGATGGTTTGTCGGCGATTGTCGCGGGTGTTGGCCGTTGCAGTGGGACAGCATCGGCGACACGGAACTTTGTGGTGTCGTCGGACAAAAATCGGTGTTTGTCACTCTAGTGGGACGAGGCTTTTAGAGAAAACGTGAATAATTAGCAGATACTGTGAAAAACATACAAGGGAATTATTGTAGGCCTTTGTTATTCATAGTATGGGCCACCAATGTGTTCGCACATCCATCTGTTACCTGAGCTGCCAAGAAAATCGTGTTTACAGTCTTATGCATATGGGTGGGAGTCAGCACGTTCCACTTGGACCTGTTCGAACTTTTGCTAAAGCTCCTTCCGCATTCTTTATTTTTTTTCTTCTCCAATTTGTGAGTTGGGAGTCTACACTCGTATGTAGTGTATGTATTCCTCTCCTTTATTCCTTGTTTTTTGTCTGTTATTTTTCAGGATGTTCATTCAGAATGAACTCACCACCTTATTACATGGAAAGGCTGTTGTTAATTCCAAAGTGTCTGTAAAACAATCTACCTGACATCTTTTGCTCACGCCCCGGTTTCTGAAGCTCACGTTCTCCGAACACAGTTTTTCTGATTTCTCTGATTCTTTTTCTTTTTTCTTTTATGCTCAATAGATCAAGTTGTGAGTGTGCACCAGTCTGCGTCCTCTGTGTTCCTATCCTTTTGTCCTTGTCTTTTTGTGCACTTTTTTCAAGTTGGTCCATGATATTTTTTATCGTATATTCTAATCTGTGTTTTCATCTTTATACTTGCTGCAGTCCTTACCAAGTAGAAGTTGGCATTCACTTTCACCATCCTGATGTGAGTGTCCTGAGGCGACACAGAATGACAGCTTCCTCTGCTGAAGGCCAGGCTTGATGGAAGACTGCCAAGGCTGTTCATGGTAAGGTGCTCTATATATTGAGCAATATAATAGCAACTTATTGCTGATAGGATTGTTTTTAACGCAGACTGTGTTTATGGACTGGCCTTTAGCAATTCCGATGCCACTCACGTGGAATGAAACACTCTAGGGGAATTGCGCATCCCATTCGTAAGCGGAATGCTGAGTTTACAACAGAAGTGCGTCTCAACTTGCTGCCAGTATTGCTGTGTGTGTTGTGTTTGTATTTTTATTTGTTTGTTTAATGTTCCCAATAATGGCTGCAGCCTTCCCATTGGAAGTGGCAACACGCAAACACAAATGGACAGCAAGAGAGGTGCACAGCGCCACTCACGCCGTTCGCCACCGCACCCATTGGTTTTCGGAGAGGTTTGCAGTATTGGTCTCTATGGTATTTGGTCATATATCGCACATGAACACAACCAGGGCACTGTGCCTACAATTCAGCACTCGCAAGATTTGCGTGAATACACCCTGCAGCTGGTTGCACTTTCAGAGTAATTTTAATGTTGCAAAAATGAATAATGACATTGGCATATTTCTCGTGCCAAATCCTTCATGCCTGTTCCGAACTCTGATCTCCACGAGATCACAGTAGAGTCGTTTCTGTTGTACAGTAAAACCTCGTTAATTCAACCCCCGCTAATTCGGATAATTTGAACTGTCGATCCGGTCCCGTCAAACATATGTATTAGTCAATGGCAGCAAACGCTCATTAATTCGGAGGGAACGCGGCGCACTATGGTTAATTCGGACAAATTCGGCAGGTGGTGCTAGCTACCGTCTGTTCCAAAGGGTATGACCGCTATCCATCCGAAGTGCGCACGTGGTTTTTCCGGTTTTCCCATGGTTCTTCGCTCTTTCGGTTCTCCGTGTTTCGCACCAGTTTTGCTCTGGATCGCCGTGCTTCAGCTCGTTACTCTCCTGGCATGGAAGCAGCAGAAGCATTGCTGCAACGGAAAAAGGGTAGCACAAGTGACCGACGACCGGAACGGCAAAATCGCGACACGCGGGGCTATTGTTCCCGAGCGTGCCAATAGCAAGAGTGACAGTCACGTTTTATGCCTCAACGCGGGGATCCTAAAGCCCGCCATTTTAACAACTATCCTATCCCTCAATTTTTCGCCGGCCACCCCTGCATTGAAAAATGCATCGTGACTGGCACTCTCGCTATCGGCGCTCGGGGAAAATAGCGCCGGCTGTCGCGATTTCGCCGCTCCGATTACTGGTCAGTTTTGCTACTCGTTTTCCGTTGCAGCTGTACTAGGCTAAGAATTTAGCGACGAAAGTGGAAATACTGAGGGCCTTGGAGGGCGGCGTCTCTCGACAAGTGATGGAAGGTTGCGACGTCAAGAGAAGCACTTTGGCTACATACGTAAAAATTGTGGCCGATATCCTACAGGCTTTCGAGAGCGAGAAGTTCAACACGAAAAGAAAGCGGCCTTGGAAGGTGGTGCACCCGAAACTAGAAGAGGCCTTGCTGTACTACATTGTCAGCGCACGGGATGCGTAGCTCCGACAGTGCGAGTGCGGTGGAGCACTCAACCGCGCTAAGGAAAGTTGCCGTCTCCGCCCAAGTGTCGTCCAGAAAGCAGGCGGTAATAACAGATTTCTTCTCAAAATAAAGGAAACGTTTTCGCGCAGCTTTCTTTGTTCTTTCGATATTTCGACCTTCGGATAATTCAGACATTATTGCCGGTCCCATGAGATCCAAATTAACGAGGTTTTACTGTAGTGGCACGGCAGAGTCTATACTTGTTTTGCTTCAATCTTTGTAAGGGGGATGCTGTAATCCAATTCTACTCATCCCTGGTGTACTAGATAGCACCATATTTGCAGAGATAGTCTTCAGATTTTGTAGTTCCATCGAAATATATTTCAGCTTATAAAATATTTGTTATTTGGCTTGTAAATTTTCAAGCAGATCTAGATTGAAGGCAGCAAATATCTTACCTGCAGTCATGGTATGTGTCCGAAGTATATTGCATTAACATAATTGACCCAACCTCTGATTTTTGTTTTCAGTGCCTCTAGCGAATTGTGGATGCTAGGATTGCTTTTGTTTGTTTCACATTATCTACAACACTTTTTTCACCTTTATACTCAGTGCAGCCCTTGCCGAACGGAAGCTAGCATCGACTGGGCCAATTCGTTCGTGCATCACCAGCCGACCCGAGGATCAGGTCCATGGCAGTCTGCAAAGGTTGTTGATGGTAAGCTGCCTTATATATACAGCTGTGTAATAGCAGCTTGTCCTGGATGACAATTTGAAATGCATGTTTATGTTTTAGAAAGTGAAATTCGCATGGGCATACTTGCAACGTGAAAGCTTACCAAGCCTGTTCTGATCTTTCATCCTTTTGAGATTTCAGTACAGCCGTTTCTGCTGCACACATACTGCCTACTTCGGCCAGGTAGAGACTTGATACATATGAAGGTAAGCAGGCGATTATCAACTGCTCGGTGCTGTCCGTGGTGACGTTCTCTCCTTATCAGATGACTTACCATGCTTGGTTCGCAAGGCATTTTAAAAGGAAAGCAAGTCCGCTGGTGCATGATGCTCCCAGTACTGAGCAGTCGACGATCGCTTGTTCACACTCGTAGAGATCACGACTGTACTTCAAGCTCAGCAAGTGTGACACTTATGTGATTCAGCCTAGCTGTGGTGTGCTGAGCGGTATATGTAGAGCTAGTTTACTTGTGCACACACAGTGGCTGTGCGGTATAAAACGCGCCCAATCGGCCACTTTAATGCAGTCTCGTGTAGTTCCATTGATGTTTTCTTTTGGCGTGCATGATATGTGTTCACACTTTTTTTTTTCCTCGCTTACCGACAGTCCTAGCTGTCTGCAGAGAGTAAGTGTGAAACATGCCAACAAGCCTCTAAAGCAGTATGCAGTGCAATTTTGGTCTATTGTGCAAGCGAGGAAGAAGACTGCTCGTTTGGCTGTTAAGGCTGCGACATAGACATTAGATAGTTTTATCTGAGCATTGTTACGACCCGCTCCACTCAAAAGGAAAGCACCTGCATGCTCACAACGCTCAGTCAGCAACGACCAGTCGGAACGCAGATGCCGATGGAGCAGACAACTCCTGCACCCTGATGACCACTGCCGACTGAGCGTTACGTGCGTGCCTGGTTACTTTCCTGCTCAGTGGCTGAGCGGAACGGCCCGTAAAAAGCGCTCGGCTAAAACTTTTTCTGATAGGGGGTGGCTGACACATAGATATTTCAGGCAGAAGGATGGCCGACATTGACTCACATCAATTCTCAGTATGAGCAGCTCTCATCGCAATACGGAAATTATGATTCAAACTTCCTCTACCCCTTTCTGAAGGTTTTGAAGGTACTCCTAGCAGTATTGTTGGGCTAGACATAATCATACCCAGATCCACTCCAATAAATTCTAAGAGGATGAAGTCAGTTGCCACATAGCTTGTGCAAAGCTAAATCTGGAACTCACTCCTCCTTCCTGTTTTTCACTGTATTGAGAACCTTGTCTCAGTATGTGATGGGTCTGTGAAGAAAATTGACCAGATAAGCAATATTACTCAGAAAATAGATGTCCCATACATATTAACCTGCACCTACCAGCCACTGTACACCACCTCACTACTGATTTGTTATCTTTCTATTGATTTGCCTGAACTGTTCGCACCTGTAGATATTAATGATGATCACGAGGGAATGTTTGTTGTCATATGATGTTATATGCTTAAAGTAAGTGAGGCTTGCGGGCGTTTTCAAGGGCTATGGGGCATGCCGATGGTAAACACTCAATGTGAGTTTATGGTAGACGCTAATAGTATATACTAGTTTCTGGGTAAGTCGCTATTTTTTATTTGGTGAAGTCTGCAGATGAGTTTTAGTCAGGTTGCCATTATGTGGGAACACAGGGGCCATACTCTGCAATATATTATATGTTTACATGTGTCTACCCAATCTCATTAGTATGTGTACAACAATGAGCTGTATTCGCGACTCCAACAATCTATAGGGGGCGCCACCACCAAACAAACATGGCGGCTGGGAACAGGTCGCGTCGGCTCGGCCGGGCCGCCTGAACGGGTAGCGCATTCAATTTAACAGATTTTCTTTTGTTTAGTGCCCTATTTTATAGGTATTTCAACTGCGACGGTTAAGTGTAGCCGGTGCAGATAAACTTGCAGAGCATAGTTTTGTTTTCCCGGTGCTTTTTGTTCTTTTCATGTCAAACTTTTGTTTCGGAGGTTTCGTTCATTACCGAAACTATGGGCTCCGGAGAGACGGTAATAGACTCTAATCAGTTTTGATCAGGTAAGGAAAGCAGCGATGACTACAGAATTGTTCCACCGACAGTAATTTTCAACTAACTCGCATCACTCGACCATACGACTTATCTGTCAGCGAAATCGAGCTTTTGTGCGTATTAAGAAACAGCTCCAGTCGTCTGCTCGATCAGCAACACAGGCTGCAGGAAAATTACGAAAATTAAGCAAGCGCTTCTTGAGCCAAGCTTGAGCTTCTTGAGCCCCACTAAGCAGCTGATACTCGTATTTCAACTCAGGTTTTAGTGACAATCGAAGTCATTTTGACGAATGTGCGGGTTATGCATTATATTACGTACCATGTCCCACTAAAGGGATATTAGTATATTATTTGGGCTGAAATATGAGCTTGCTTGACAAGCTATTAGGTGAACTGCTGAATCAAAGTATATTTGACAGACGGAGAGATACTACCTAAACTCAGCCATATGGTTCTAGCCGGCAGCACGGAGATGATTGCGGACAAATTTGAAGATAGTCTTCATCGGAGATTCACGCAGAACCCCTCTGCATTAAACTTGACTTCAAATCCTGAGTGGAGAAAGAGAGTATCTTTTGTGGCCGGACAACCTGAGCAATGTAGACGGATATTGCTGCTGGCTTCAACGAGGGTATATTATAAATATTGGAGGCGCAATAGATCATAATGTCGTGACAGCTTCTAACTTTGCGAGAGGCGTCCCCCATTTTTTGAAAGCAGACAATATCCCTCATTAATCGTATGCAGCGAGGAGGTTTTCGAGAATCAAGTAGATGCGAAATCAGCCCAACTTTTTCGGTGTGGTCCAGAGGCTTTTTCGGTGAAAAGCTGCCAAGATGAATAGCCAATGCACCGACCAGCGTGGGTGGCTCAATCTTGACGCTAATCAAACACAGCCAAATTCAAGAAAAGCAGCTATTGAACCTTCCCATTCACTTGACTGCAGCATTGGGGTTCCCTCCAGTGAAACACCTCGTCTGTTTTACATACCACTTATCAGTTACCGAGTAGTCGTCACTTTGAATGTCATTCGAGACAGAGAAGATATCAAAGCGTTTTTCCTTGATTCCTCCCCATCCAAGAAATTGAAAGCACGCGATTGTGTGTTGTGGAGTAAACAGGCTTTCAAACACGTGATAGAAAAAAACAATTTACTGAGGCTTCATCACACTGATGAACACTCAGGCAAACTTGAGAAATATTCAGACCTTCATCAAATTACATTGTTTGCCACCGCGTCGACAACACGTGTCCGCGAAAGCCGCCAGAGACGTGGAGAGGCGCAGAGCGACCTGTTCTGGCTGGTTCCTGGTTATCCCGCTTGATGCTGTCCGTTTTGCTAGGGTCGCGAATATGTCAAGGATATGATTTGTCATTGTCTCAGTAAGACTAATGAATCGCTATATTTACCTAAAAATGCTGGATCTCTTGCACCTATCGGGACGAACGGCAATGTTAAACTACATGCCAACTACTCCGGCGAGTTTGCCCGTCTCTCGACATGCCCTTTTGAATTAAAGTAGATGATTTCCACGAGCCTTTCTTTGAAGTGGGCCTTCTTCATGCAAATAGCTAACCTTGATTATGAGATAACTGGGCCATTTTTGCCGCTTGGTTATCCAGTGTGTTGTAACAGGTGTCCCTTAGGGCAATCAAAGTATTTTTGTTTTGATATAGTTTCCATATTGAAAATGAAATGAAGACAATTAACGCATTGGTTACAAAAAGTTTTTCTTTTACATGGGCTTCTTGTCTCATGCCTCTGGTTTTCTGGCCACTTGATTAGCTTGGTTTATCTTTTTAGAGGTGATACTTACTTAGTTTTTGTGCTTTTGTTTTGGGTGTTTTTCAGGCTGATTTTCTTTTTTTTGTTCTCAATAGTGTGTATATATTGCGCCGTTGAGTTCAATGCAAATTTGGTTTCGAGTCAGCGCTCTGTCCGTGTCCTTTACCCTGTCCGTCGTCCTGTGCGCTGTTTTAACCTTTTAAGCGCTTGCCCAGTTTGGAATTTCTGGATTATCATGTGCAGCTGGTATTGATTTACCCTGTCATTTTACTGTGCTGTTGATTCTCTTTGCAGGTGCTCTAATGAAGGACTCCCCTTCCTGGGTGCATGGTTGACTTGCATCACAAGCTGCATGAAAAGTGTGAAGAACATTTCCTAGGCCCGTGACATGCAGCCTCTTTCATCCAGCGCACTCCTCTAGCGACAAGCCCATGATGACCAGCCAAGCTGTAGCTTCACTGGAACTGGCAATAAACAATTACGGTAACAATTTTGTATGTTTTATTTGCTATCATGTGTATGAGCGACAGATGGCTGTGGCAGCCGCTTTACCATTAAGGTGTATACCTATGCCAGAAATTTACTTTCATGTACAGTGCAACATAATTGTTTACACTCATTTGTTGTTAAAATTATTCTTCTTATGAACTACATCATTTCTATTCAGGTGTAAATTGCACACAAAACCACATGTTAGGCTGTATGACAAGAACGGGAACTGTACGATTTTAGCCCACTAGCCTGGGGTCTTGCTGGTATCTTGCGGTACTGCTGGTAGTGCACCGGGGATTTGTGCTGGCAGCAGCCCGGGAACTCGCTGGGACAAAACAAGCCCGGGAACTGTATGGCTTGAGGCCGCTAGCCTGGGGTCTTGCTGGTATCTTGCCGCGTTACTGGTACTACGCTGGGGATTTGTGCTGGCAGCATCCCGGGAACTGTATGGCTTGAGGCCGCTAGCCTGGGGTCTTGCTGGTATCTTACCGCGTTACTGGTACTACGCTGGGGATTTGTGCTGGCAGCAGCCCGGGAACTCGCTGGGACAAAACAAGCCCGGGGACTGTATGGCTTGAGGCCGCTAGCCTGGGGTCTTGCTGGTATCTTACCGCGTTACTGGTACTACGCTGGGGATTTGTGCTGGCAGCATCCCGGGAACTCGCTGGGACGCCCAGTGCCGGGCGTCCCAGTCAGTCCCAGTCACTGGCCAGTGACTGGCAATCTCACTGGCCCGTTGTCGCCCCGCGGTGCGTTTTCAGCGTCGCCCCAGTAGGATCTTACCGGCAGACCGGTACCGCCCCAGTCCCAAACCGGCGAGTTGTGCTACTTGGGCTTGTGCTTGATGGAAAAGTAAACATTATATTTGTTGTGATCCTATGAGGCGAGTTAAACCTTGTGGTCAAAGATGTCGTATGATATCAAATTGTGTTTAGCAAACTGCACGCCGATGTATTTATAAGTATTATTTAAAAAAAAACTATTGCAAAATGAATAATGGCTAACTTAATGCGAAGATTTTATTTATGTGGAGTGTATTCATCGCTACAAAAACGCTTCTGCCACTCATCTAAAATCGCACAAGCTGTCGAACTTCGCTGACATATATTTTTATTTGTAAAAAAAAGACTGATCGTCAATCAATAACGTCATTTTCCACAACTGCATCCTGAACCAATACCATGTACTTGAAAATTGCTTTGTTTTACAGAGATTCCAAAGGTGGAATCATTTATCAAAATGTTTTTTTCGAAGTTTTGTTTCATTTTTACTCATCACGAAACTATACTGAAACGGGCCACAAAACTTTGAAACTCGGTTCAGTTGTGAAGCATGTGTTCAGCGACTACCCTAAATAAAAATTGGCTTACTCGTCCGCAAAAACAAAAAAAAAAAACATACAAGAGCGGCGTTGCCTGTATAGCCTTTTAAATATGGTTACTGACAACTTCATAGACGCGGTGCGTGTCAAGTACCGTGCATCTAATTATCGAACCGCATACGATGAAATTCCTTGTTAGCCTGTAAATATGCCGAAGAATTTATTACAAAGCAAAAAAACGTGAACATAATAGGCCACGTATTGTTTTTTTTTTAGTTGTCAGCTACCCCAATTGGGAAAAGAATCTGGCTCTTCTTACATTATCTCTTTAGTGAGAGGTAAGTAGAGCTGGTTTTCAAAGTTTTTGCATTTCACAGACAACGGGGCCTTACTAATATATATATATACATAACAGACCAATTGCATCCAACTTCTCTTGAAAATTTACGCTGCATACATTTTGGGAAAAACGAGCCAACACTCGTTACAAAGGTGAGTAAGCGAAACGCGCACCTTTATCATAAAAAGTGCTTATAAAATATTTAATGATTTTTTTCATAGTTGCAGTCTGAAACAAAGCAACGCATTGTAGTCTCAAAGTATTTTTAGAAAAGGTGTGAAACCTTGAAGTAATTTTGTTTCAAGCCAACAAGTGGTGTAGGAAGACGAACAGCTATTCTGACATTATAAGTTATAATACCTTCGTATCAGGCTTTGGTGAATATAGAACTATTCATAGCGCATGCCATAACCATAATACTATTATTTCTAGTTTTACAGCGATTACGTGCTTCCTCCCGACTAAACTTTCGAAATCAAATCGGGCTTCGGCAATTGTGCGAGGACACGGTAATGAGGATGCTTTCCGTCGCTTGCAGACAACTCAAGTTCAGCGTCTTTTGCTCCTGTCAAGCGGAGCCAAAAAGCAGCCTAGCCAGTATACAGCGCCGTGTGGGGATGGTGCCATTGAGTAGATAGGAACATAACAATGGCTAACAAATAATTACAAAACGAGACAATATCTTAAACGTGGTGACAACTTACGTAATATTATCTTCCAAAACACATTAAAATGTAATTAACATTTCCCGCAGTAAGACGGTGCGATTAATAATGTATCGCAACGCAACGATCAGTCCACGTAGGTGATTCGTCGTTAAGTAGGAGGATAGAGTAAGCGGCTTTTAGGGTTCATCTAAAGCCCCTCCTGTACCGTTTTTGTAAAAAAATTACTACAAGCTCATGTGATTCCGAAGTCATTTTTGTGTGTGTCTGTGTGTGTGTGGAGTGTAAAAAAATCAAGTAAAATTGAAGAGCTGCGTGCGCTCTTACCTTTCTTTGATAGAACAACACGCAACGTATACGAGTTAGACTATAACAAATAAAAATTTTGGACTCGCAAGAATTAGTACCCCTTGTGCGTTTCATATAAGCGTATACGTTAAGAAATTTACTACCTTGTACATTTCTTTATATTCTACAGCAAAGAGAATGCTGATTTGCGCTTAATCTAAAGGGAACATCTACAAGCAATAGAACTCCCATGCGAGTTTAACTTTGCTCTTCAAATTGGTGGAGTTAAAAAAATTATATATTGTCACGAATGAAGGTGACGAAAAGCCGAACAGTGAACTGAAAATAAAGATTTAATGGGCGAACTTGTGCCAACCAAAAATAAATAAAGAAAGAGCGTCGAGGTAGCAGAAAAGCGGGCGGCGGTTCGGCGGCACTACAGAGCGCTAGCAAAACTGGGACTGACTCGACAAGGTCGCGGGAGCCGCTTATCTACCCTGCGTCACTATCTCGAAAGTTCGGCAAAGAAGGTTCGAGCGTCGCGCGCTCGGGGCGAGGATGAACTGGCACTTTCGAGAATAACAAAGCAGAACGAAAGTTACGTCTGCTGCGAGAATGACCGGGAATCTTCTAGAAGACCGTGACCGAGCGTTGCCTTCTCGGCTCTGCGGGTGGCATTATCCCCCCTTTAAAAGTGCATCGCCCCGATGCAAAACGAAAGGAAAACGGAAATGGCTAAAACAATTACGGCGAAACAAAACAAACATGCAGTTTCACAATCCTAACGCGCGTAGAACGGCTTGAGTCGAACTACGTGGACGACTTCGGGTCGTGGCTGGCGGCGTCCTGATGGGCGAGTTCCGTCGGGGAGCACCTCGTAGTTCAAGTCCCCAAGGCGGCGGATGACCTTGTAGGGTCCGAAGTAGCGTTTTAACAGTTTCTCGCTGAGGCCGCGGCGGCGAATGGGCGTCCACACCCATACCCTGTCTCCGGGCTGGAACTCCACGTCGCGGCGGCGGAGGTTGTAGCGGCCTGCGTCGACACGTTGCTGGTTCTTTATTCGAAGACGGGCTAGCTGTCGTACTTCTTCTGCTCGTTGGGTGACCAGCTGGGCGTCGTCGGTGCCGTCGTCCGTTGGATCGTGGGGCAGCATGGCGTCGAGCATCGTCGTCAACTTTCTGCCGTGCACCAGCTGAAAGGGTGTAACGCCGGTAGTTTCTTGAATCGCCGTGTTGTACGCAAACGTGACGTAGGGCAGCACTTCATCCCACGTCTTGTGTTCCACGTCCACGTACATAGAAATCATGTCGGCGATGGTCTTGTTTAGTCGCTCCGTCAGCCCATTGGTCTGCGGGTGGTATGCCGTGGTCCGGCGGTGGTCGGTGTGGCTCAGGCGGAGTATCTCTTGTGTCAGGTGCGCCATGAACGAGGATCCTCGGTCCGTAATCAGGACTTGGGGAGCGCCGTGTCGGAGGACGATAGACTCCACGAAGAATTTGGCTACTTCCACGGCGGTCCCCGACGGGAGTGCTTTTGTCTCGGCGTACCTGGTGAGATAATCAGTTGCCACGATTATCCACCGGTTTCCCTGCGCCGACGGTGGGAAAGGTCCGAGAAGATCCATTCCAACCTGCTGGAATGGTGCAATCGGGGGCGCGATCGGTTGCAGGAGACCTGCCGGCTTCATCGGTGGTTTCTTGCGTCGTTGGCATTCGTGGCACGAACGGACGTAGAGGTGGACAGTCTTCGGAAGCTTGGGCCAGTAGTATTTTTCTCGGATCCGTGCAAGGGTCCTACTGTAGCCAAGGTGACCAGATGTTGGGTCGTCGTGGCAGGCTTGGAAGATCTCTTCTCGAAGACTGGCAGGAATCACCAGCAGCCACGTCGAGTTGTTGTCCCTGAAGTTTTCTTTATAGAGGATACCTCTCCGGACGGTGAATCTTGGCAGGTCACGTGAGAAGGCTCGGGGAATCGTACCCCCTCGTCCCTCCAAGTGGTCGATCAATGCACGCAACTCAGGATCGTCCCGCTGGAGCGCTGCCATGCCGTGAATGCTCACCGCGCCAAGAAAGTGGTCGTCGTCGTCGTCGTCTTTGGCACATCCGGTAGCTGACTCGACAGGGGCTCTGGACAGGGAGTCGGCGTCGCTGTGTTTTCGGCCTGACTTGTAGACCACGGTTACGTCGTACTCCTGCAGTCGTAGGCTCCATCGAGCGAGGCGTCCCGATGGGTCCTTCAGGCTCGC